TGTCAAGTCCAACAAAGGGACAACACTACTCAGAGGGATTTCGAACGTATTTGGCCAACATACTGTTGCGCAACCAGCCCCTCGAAACCATCATCAGCTGGTGCCCAGCTCATTCTGGCATTATCGGGAGCGATCGTGCAGACCAGCTAGCGAAGGAGGGTTCACTCGGACTTTAGTTCTTATTTGTATTCTTCATTATAAAGTCAATTCCATCGGGATGACAGACCGTGTGTAAATAATATTTGGATGACTCGTACAAATTTCCCGGTGACTCACAGTAGCATGTGATTTTATTTATCGCCTCCTTTATTTCTAGTTTACTGATACTAATAGCGCGGGTCCAGCCGGACGACTGTTTCTCGCCCCCTGATTGCTCAAGCCTCGCTCTTTGAGGTTTTAACCTTAACCCCGAGTTGGGTCGGTTCCCACGCGCTCCTCTCATTGGCTCCCATTTCACCGAATTGGGATTGACGTCCCCGACATTGCTCATTTGACATCCATTCGCACTTTGGCTGTGTTCCCAACTGCCAGGTTATACCACTGCGATGGCACTGCGATGGCACACACACTGCACGCCCCGGAACCATTCAATGTACAGAGTCTCACCAGTGCATTGAAGTGCATTCTCGCTCTCTCATTGCTGTCATCCCCCCCCATCGCCCCCCCCCCCCCCCCCCCCCCCCCCCCCCCCCCCCCCCCCCCCCCCCCCCCCCCCCCCCGCCCCGACCCACGCTCCACTCCGCACGCCTCCCCCCACTGGCTACCCGCCTGCCTGCAAGCCCCTTCGGCCTTCCTCCTTCGCTCTGGTTATCGCTGCTTCGCAGCGACCGACTCGTCGTATTCATCGCTATGTTCCCGTTACTCGCTCTTCTCACATTGCGACTGTTTCCTTCATTTTTCCTTTCTATTCCTTCATTTCCTGTTTTCATTTGTTCATTAGTTGCACATGTTGCAGCACGCTCGCATCCACTGAGCCAGCCCTGCCAGACTCCCTCGCTCGCCTTCCTGCGCCGCGCTGCGAGCGACCACTTATGCAAGTGCCAGACCCCCCTGGTCTTCGTCTGTCAATCATTCCGTGGCTTTAGGGCACATTGGCTGCTTGAGGTGACCTCACGTCAGAAGCAAATCTCGCCCCTCAACAATGACTCAGACAGCCGCCAGACTGCTGTACATGGAATTTCTTTTATCATCGAGGTTCGCACTTCATCCTTCACTCAAGTTGGACGACGCAAACGTACTAACTGTATCATTCGATCCAATGCACCGACCTGCGTTTATTACAATGCAATCTGATGGCTCACGTCATGAATTACAACATCGCGATGCCATCCACGCTATATGATCACCGAATACCCCGCTGACACAATGCAACCTCCTGTGAATATGAACTTTGATATCCCTGGAGTCGTTCCACGATCAATGATCGATTCTTCACAGTAACTAAATCCTTCAGTCCTCCTGCATGCTCCGCAACATCATTCTCTCTTTGCTCAAAACGTGAATTTGCATTCGAATTCCCTGCTTCACCACCTCACTCTCAACCTGAAATAGAAAAAGAATGGAGATAACCGAAAGTAATCACGTGACCTATTCGACACACCCGGTGTTGGAAGGTATATATGGCAAGGTGGCAAAACTTGGATTCCTCGACAACTACGGATTCATTTGAAGGAGTTGACTCCATTTTTGAGACAGTAACTCGCTCAGAGCTTTCCCATGGCATCTCAGCGCGTGCGCTTCAACAACATTGGCATTGACCCTCAAACACTCAACCCTCAATCCTCATTGTGCCCTCGCTTCTCCTTGTCATTACCACCATCAACCGGCTCCAGCGCCAAACTACCCAGAACTCGGTATCGTGATACTGGGGAACCATAGGTCGAATGGGAGGATCGGGCACAGCAGTACACCCCATTTCCACTCCCATAGCTAACCCATGCCCACAGCTACTGATTTCGCTCTCACTGTAGAATTCCATTCAATGCGCGATCAACTTCGCACTGGAAGACTCAGTCAAACACGGGTGTTTAACTGATGTCCTTTGCATGCTGGGGTCTCTACTGGTTGGTGCTCGGGCCATCGTCAGCTTGGGCTGGGGCATCATGCAACTCGTGTGCGGCTTGGGCTCGTCATCGGAACCGGGGACTCGAAGCTAGGGTTGGGAGGCCTTAGCTCTTTGGGCTTGGCTGGGGGTTGCTAGGCTGTGGAGGTTATGCCTTTTGTGCCTGCACTCTCATGTCATATACAACGGTTTGGGTTGGTGCTGCTACGGTAGGCACTGCCCATGGGCTCGCGATCGATGTCGGATGGCAACTCGATACTAAGGCCTCTTGGCCTTAGCTTGAGCTTGGTGCACTCTGGTGCTGTGAGATCGGGTACGGTCGCGGCATCATGCCCTGCACTCGGGGGACTTTAACATCAAGTACAATGTTACCGTCTAGCAACGTAGGCGCCATCTGGTGTCTCCAGGGTGAACATTGGGGGAAAAGGGTTCGTATGTTGCGGTATTGAGGACTGACGACGCGTCCGACTCAGGTAAAATGAGAAATTTCAAATGACGAAGGCATCTTGCACAACCTGCATGGACCACCATGTTGGAATATGGAGAGCAAATGCATGACATCCTGCTAAGCAATAACAACTATTACTATTATCAGACACCCTCGTTATGTTTTATACCAATGAAAGTATGACATGCTGCACTAAAATAATTGATGGAAATCCCTTATGGCCACTGTTGCATTCCCCATTCCAACCCAAACCATACTGTCAGGGCAATAGCCCCGAACCCCGAGTCACATGTAAATTAGATACACATAGTCACGTGGGCAAGCGGGAACCTCTGGGAAACCGCTTACACACCACCGTAAAATACACTATCTTGTATCACTTACGGCCTTGTGTGCTGAGCCACCCTAAGACCTCACACTTTTTTAAGTGCATGAGGTGTGTTTTACAACACAACCCACAACTACACAATCTTAACATCTGACTCGGAAGTGCCTATGGCGCCAAAACACACCCGCAAGGGCAAGGTTGCATCTGCAGTGACACTAAAAAGAAACGAGCGGTTTATAAAGAAACCGCAATCTCCCATCAAGGGAGATTCAAACCAAAAGCCGTCGTCAGACGACGACGAGGATCAACATGATCCGGCAATAGCAACCACCTCAGGGCTGGTCCCTGAAGGCTTTAGAAACTTATGTGGAGTAAGTGCGGGGCGAAATACCCCCAGAACTCCATGACATACCGATCTAACCCAAGCTGGGGAAGATCCCTCACCTCCTCACGAGGTGATCGACTTGCGCGAAAAACGTGTAAGCGCTGAACGATCAGCCCAAAAAGCTGACTGGATAGAGTCGCAGGAAACTCCAGGGCCCCACTATCCCCTGGAGTCCCCCCTCACATCCCCAAGTCAAGTGTCAGGGCCCGGCCCTCGTTCCGTGACGGGCCCAAGGGGATCCTCTGAGTCGCTGGGGTATCTAGTCCCAGTCCGAGGTCTTCAAACTCACTGAGGGGGCTAGCCCCAGCCTTCACAGGAAATGAGTTGAGAAGAAGGGTAACCTTCTCAACCTCCTGTGAAGCCGCTACAAATGGGAGCCGGGAACTATACAGTTTTCGGCTCTTTGCTGACTTTCCATAATTGGCACCCCCCCGTGGGAAGATTCTGGGCGAGCAGCTCGCCCAGAAAGTCCCCACGGTTGTGGCTGTGATGGTTTCTGGGCGAGTAACTCGCCCAGAACGTTCCCACGGTCTGCATTCATGCGGGATTGTGGAACAGTGAAGGGAAAAATAGGAGAAAATGGGGGAAGGGTACCTGAGGGTGTGTGGGGTCAGGGGCTGTGCCCTGACAGTTCTGCGGTTCGACTCCCAGAATGTCCATATTTTAGCATTAAGGTTCCCAAGACCACATGTACAAATTCCAACAAAATTCTATACCTAACATCTAAGCTGCTGGGTTACTAGGTGCATATGTCAATGATGCACAGAATAACCTCTGGCTTATTTTTCCATAGTTTCTTGTGGGGCTGGTGGTACTCCAAATGTTGACACGGCATTCCGATGCCCTTGTTATTATGGTTATTGTTCCCTTTTATGGGAAGTTTCGTTGTCCTAATGCTTTAGCCTTTGTTCATTTGCGCCACACAGAAATGTATATAAGTATGATGTGTAGAGCTGAGTGCGATATCTAATGGCATTGTGATATTGCACTCAGAATGTCCAGCTGCAGTGCCGCGATTATAATGGACTCAAGAAGCACAAAATGGGTTAACCCCGATACATTATTTTGAAAATGACGGACCCATTCCAAAATGCCCTAAAAATACATTCTAATTGACCATGTCACTGAGGTGGGAGTGCTCCGAGGTGTGGCAACACATCCAATGAGTTCCCACTTCCTTTAGCTTCTCTCTCAATGCCTTCAACTTGTGCCTCATGGCATCTTCGGGCTTCCGGAGATACCCATGACTAGACTACTGTACATACACGACCACCTACCGGTGACGCGTGACGCGAGCCTTGCGGTCCGGGTGTAAGTCCGTGTTTGTGACGCGTGACACTGGGGATCCGGTTTGTTGTCCCCATTGTCACTTTTTTTTTTTGGGAGCCAAGGTGTGGCTGTGCATTTGATTCAATTTTTGGGAAAGTAGCCCAAAAACGGAGTATAATATGATTTGAAATTCATTCGGATTTAAGACTGACTTCACCATCGGAGACCGTCACTCTCACGCACATACCGCTGTTGCGGATGTCGCACATGCATCGCTATCACCGGTTGTCTGTCACACCTCATCAGGAGCAGCCGGTTTACTCTCCCGGCGTGACGCTCCAACCCCATCCGGTAGTTGGTCATGTATGTACAGTATTTCGTATTTGCAATGTGGTGGAGATCCAGCCACCTATTGTCAAGCGATGGACAACAGATCAACGGTATCTGCGCGACCATCTAAAGTGGAGGGCCTCTTTTCAGAGTTCAACCGGAGTCGATGCGTATAATAAGAGGGTGTGATCCAGGTGGGGTGTTATCAATTAACAAATTCATTGAAACATATACTTTATCATATCAATATCATGGTCGGGCTTAATAAGCTCACCATCAACTGCCCCTGTAGGTCGCTTGATATCAACATTATTCACATTCATTGGATATCGCACTTCCTCAATTTTACCTGCCCAGTCAAAGTCGACTAGTAGAATTCCAGGCTTACCGTCTTTCCGCACCATGACGTTGGTGGTTCGAATATCACCATGCACAAATGCTTGTTGGTGGAGAGCCTGCACCTTCTGTTCGATTTCGTCTTTGAACAAGGCTTTCATCTCTGAATGCCGCAATTCATGATAATCATCCCCGATTAAAGCCATGACAACCATATACCATCCACCCGCAATGGGCTGACACCTCTTCAAAGCAGGTGCACAACCAAGCAAGAAGCATGCGAGATGTGCATCCTCGGAGTATCGGTGGGTGAACTTGATGAATATTTTCTCATCACCGATAGTGCCGGAAAATAGGAGTCTCTTCTCGTCAAGCTGCGATGAGTATTCAAATGGGTACTTTGTGCTACTGCGCGGGGAATCGAAGTCGGTAGGATACGGAAACGTAATGATCGGGTTAGGGGTTATACGTGGAAGTTCGGATTCGTAGTAGCTATTCAACGCGAGAATCGCGTTTTTTGTTGCACCAAAAAAACGGGCAGCTTGCATGCGCATATCGACGTTGGATGCATGATAGAAGAGCGGCAACGTGGGGCTAGGACCTCCAGATGAGGGTGAATGGTCAAGACGGCACCGGCAAAGCCAATGTGGGCACCTAGGGCATGAATTTAGGGTGTATCCAGGAGAAGAAACGTGGAAGCTCACCAGCAAGGTAGAGGATAAAGCAAGGGAGACGCGAACGGGTTTCGTCAAAGTGGTTCCTTATGAAGGCACTATAGTACCAGGCAGCCTCGAAAAGAGGCTCAGCACCGCCGGTGGAAAGCTCTGCCTTGGCCTCGATGAGTGCAAAGCAAAAGCCCTTGTAGCGAAGATCTCCATCAGTAAAATACTTGCCAATTCCGGTGGGCAAAAAGTCGAGACCATAGCTTGCGAAATCTTTTCGAGCTTGGTCAGCCCTGTCCCCTTCGTTGGCGTAAATATTTGACATAGAATGGGAGAACTTTAAAGCGAAATCATGGTCTTTCTTGGTGGGTGTATAAGTTTTACAGTCATCTTGGAACTGGCCGAATATGGGATGATATAGTGAGATGGGTATCGTCGCGGCGGCGGTTGGGGGGCGATTAAACGCAAACGCAGGTTTTTCCTTTTTCTGGATGGCAACAAACTTTTTGGGTAGGCCCCCTGAGGAAGGGGCCTCTTGTGAAACGGATGAACCCCACGCCTTGCGGGCTTCGGCGACGCGGTCGCCTTGATATAATAGGGGACGTTGACTAGTGGATGATATAGACTTGCCGGGCGGAAACTTGATAATAATGTGTAGATGACGTTGGGCCGGTGGATCGGGAAAAATGGAGGACAATTGATGGACAGGTGATAGCTTTTCCTCGTCTTTAAGTTCAACCTTATTCACATTCTCCTTGAAACTGTTATCGACCGGGATGGAAACCCTCCAGAGTGTGAGGGTGTCTGCTGGAATGTGATCGAGTGCGGGCTTCTTCTTCTCCTTAACGATCTCCTTGAGGGTGCCGACAGACTCTGTACTCGCAATTTTGACCGGAAAGATATGGTTGGCGTCATCGCCACGAACGAGACAGTACAGTTCGAGAATAAGAGGATCTAATTGTGGCACTGAAGACGAGCTTGAATGAGAAAATACGTCACAGACAGAGATAGCTCCGCGACTATCACTCACAATCACGCGGGAATTGAACAACGATGTGTAGGTCTTGATCGTCAGGTTGATTCGGGAAAAGGCGGGACAATCTCTTCACAGGCAATAGTTCGTTTTGAAGTTTAACCTTCTCCTCGAAACCGTCGTCGACTGGGATGGAAACCTTCCAGAGTGTGAGGGCATCTGCGTCAATGTGTTGGAGAGCGACCTTCTTCTTGTCTTTGATTGCTTCCTTGAGGGCAATGACAGACTCTGTACTTGCAATTTTGACCGAGAACACTTGGCCAGTCCCATCGCCAAGTACCCAGCAGTTGAGATTGACAGACATGGGTTATTGGCAAGTCCAAACACTAAATGAATCTGCGGGCATTCGGCTAAATCCGAGGCTTGCATCTTCACATCGTTCGACGCATTCAACCCGATATGACCGTATGTTACACTATAGATAGGCTTTCGATCACTAGGTTGGGGCCCGGCGCCCTATTCTTACAATAGGTGGCATATCCGGTAGGCACAAAATCTGTCGCTCACGTTTGTGAAATCGCATCTGATGTTTCCTTTCCACAAGACCTTCACACACAAGCTCATTCGTTCATGCCGGTTATGGTTGCGATTCTAACAGTCCTCTAGCCGTTAAGGGCGCTCTCGTCAAACACTGCATGCATTGCTCACGTCTCTCAACATACCTTGTTGCCCTACAGATGTCCCTGAAGGGCCTCTCCTCGCAGCTAACTGAAGACGCTTAGTGTGTCGCTGGTGTGTAGTGGTTAGAGCACTCTCTTTAGCCAATCAAGCCACCGGAATCATCGTCTGTGTGGAGACGCCCCATGCTAGCGCCATTTCGTAGAGGTACCCAACTCAAGAGGGCCGGAGGCTGCGCCCTTGCACCGCTCCGTCTCGTGGTCGTTTTCTTCGTCCAGGCAACGCGCTGCAAAGGCTGGTCTCCCACCCTGACCCTCACAAACATAACCATTATGAGCCGCCTCGTCACCACTGTTAACGGTGCATTACACGACGCACATATTACCACCTGCCCACTCACGCTCTGAGACTCAGATCTTGCTGTAAATTCCCAGAACAGTAATCCAAGCTCTGTGTCGTCTCCTGCCATCGAACGGGCCCGACAGGCAGAACGCGAGCAAAAAGTCGATCATGTCAACCGCCTTGCATTTCTGGGCACTCTCCAAGTCGACACGGATGGGCTCTTCCATTTCTTCCGCCCTGACGTCGTGTTATCACCAGAGAGGCAAAACGAAAGAGGGATGTCACACCGATAGGATTTCAAAGTTCCAGTCAGCAAACGAGATTAACTGGCCGAACTCGAGCTGGGCCTTGATCCACCACGAATGGGAGTTTTCTGAATCTCTTTGGCGGTATTGGTGGTGCTCCCCTCATTCTGTTCTTCTTGAGGTACACTCATTGAGTGGGGGATATCTCGCTCGGTATGTTGCCGGAGACAACAAAAACCAACTAATCCGGCCAACTCCGTACACCTATTCCGTACAACCACATAACGGCTAAGAGACATTCAAGAGATGTTCTGAACACCGCCGGAGTCAGGATCGATGGAGCATTTGTTCACTCATTAAACTAAGGAGAAAATATCGCTTCGAATGGGACATGTCAGCGAACGATCATCGCGACGTTGCGTTACTTGTTGCGATGCCTCGGTCCAAATACATCATTCCCGGGTTGAAAACTGCTGAATAGTCAGGTCGAAACTTATCTACATGTAAGGGTGCGTTATTAATAAGACACAAAAAGAGCGGGTCCATTGAACAAGGGAAGGGTGGGCCCTCATAACTACAAAGGAGGGCCTGGATGATCTTTAGAGGAGCACTGGAGGATAAGTCTCCTAGTGCCCAGGTAAGGCGGAATCTTCATCTAGTATAGCTGCCACCACGCCGGTTCGCCTTCTACCTTTCGGGCAGGATTACATTATCTTTCGGGATTGTGGAAACGCGTTACGTGAGGGAACTTGCCGACTGGAGACTCGTTTTTGGAAGCAGAAAGGAATATGCGGGTCAAGGTCACAGGGTAAGCCGGCATATATGGAAGCGGCGAATCGGACCCTCAAGGTCAGTGGAGCGGGCAGACATGCAGGAGACGCCGGCGGCAGCGAGAGCGCATAATATCGAGGGCCACTAAAACCATCCAATTGTGTGTTGCTACTGTACGAGGGAAAGTAAAAAATATAATAGGCATGGACTGATGCCTCTGGGTGATTGCTACGAACAGTTTGGGAGGAAAGACATGGAACTTGTATGTAAGTTGTACTGTAATCGCTTGAAATGCGTGTCCTATTGAAGGATAAATTGAAAGACGATTTATTTGCTCCCTTGCTTCAAGTCGTGGTGGTGGTATTTCATTTTTAACTCCGCGTGCGTGCCGTAGGCATATGACGGAGCGGCCAGTGGAATACAACACTAGTACCAATTGGAACAGAGTACACTTCCGCTCCTTCCTGTGGCAAGACATCTAGGGTGGCACAGATTGGATAAAGGGATCAGTGGACATAACCCTGCCACTGACTTATTGTGTATGAATTTCCAGGGGTTCGGCGGAGAAGCGGAGGAACAAATTTCCGAATTTTGACATGAAATTCCCGGTGACTCTCAAACAACACAAATACCACATGCCCCCCGCTCTGGTTAGGGCCCTCAATGACCACTTTTCATGTGCAGAACCGCTGTCACAATGGGCAAGGGAGAACCCTGGGAAAAGCTGCACGATTCTCTGTCTGACTTGCCTATAAAAAGGGGATTCCCTTGTCCTGGATGCAGCAGACTGCCCCCTTGACTCCCCCTCATGATTCAGAGGATTAGCACTGTAGCAGCCCTCCAGCCATGTCAATCTGACATGGCTACGGCGAGAGCTTGCTTCGAGTGTTAAACCGCTCCGCATCAGAGGTGGGAGGGGATTGGATGCTTTTGGAACCACTATAAATCGACCTTGTCAGCCGGGTCATGCCCACAGCCGGCAGCTTCACTTTAGACCCTCCTGGCGGATTGGAGGAAATTGACCCCAGATACAGTGGGGGTCGAGTTTTTCCACGACCTTTCAAGGCAGTCCATCGCCTGTCGCATCACTAATAAGCGCCGTACTCAATTGGCGACGACAACTCGCGTCCGAGTTTGGAGTTATGCCAGCGAAGTTCGAGGTGGACCCACTGGGGGACATTTGGTGGGCCTTGGAAGAGGGCTCTGAGCTGCGTACTTTCACTGCGACTTGGAATATTTTAAAAACAAAATTTACTGATTTTCTTTTACATCTGGAACGCGCACAGAAGGCACTCGCTGCGCCGCTGGGCCATTCCCCCCACCCGATCCGAACCCAAACGACCCAGCCCAGCCCAGTACGCCCTCCCAGCCCGGCTCCCCTCCCTCCAGCGTCGCGTCGACACCAGGAAATGACGCGTCAGCCCCCTGCGACGCGATCCATTCCTGGATCGACGCGAACGGTTTCTGCCCAACCGCGCCAGCCGACCCCACCTCCCTCCCCCACCACTCCACTGCGTCGTCCCCAAGAAACAACGCGCCCGCTTTTGCAGGCGCAGTCTGTTCTTGAATCAACGCGTTCGCCAGTGCCAACGCCGCCCCCAACGTCGACGCGTCTGGCCATCCCACCACCGATTCCATGGCATTCGCGCCCGGTAGCCCGGCCCCCCTCCCCCACCACCCCTCTGCGTCGTCCAACGACCCCACCACGACCGTGTCCGGCCGTCCCACCGTCGATTCCATGGCACTCGCGCCCGATCCAACAGCGCCCGGCCATTCCACCCCCAATCCGATGGAATTCGCGCCAGATTACGCGCCGTCCACCCCCCTCCCCACCTCTCCCTCCGACTTCAGCGCGCCCTGAAACCGCGCTATCGTCGTCGTCACCGTCACCCTCCCCACACCCTCCCGCGCCAAATCTGGCGCGTCTATCGACTCCACCGCGTCCAGTACCACGACAGACGCATCCTGGCCCCCCTCGGTCGCGTCCACCGTCGAAATGGGCGAGTCTGGCGCCCATCCAGCCGCGCACGGACCCATTCCCGCTTCCCCCTCCCAATCTCCGCGGCCTGCTGCATCCACCGGGTGAGCCACCACCCCGAGTCCACTGTCAGGGCCCTGTGGGCTGGACTGTGGGGGGCTGCTGTGCGGCCCATTGGAGTCTGGGGGGCCCTCTTTTTTATATTTTTTATATTTTCTTAAAATTTTTCATAAATTTTATTTCTTAATCTAAACCTTGTGCCAAGCTTTCCCACCGGGTTTTGGGGCTGGCCAAGGGATTTTTCTGTATTGTGGCACTTCTCACAACTTTTCTTTCTTTTTCTTTTTCTGTTGGACTATTATTGTCCTGCACAAAGACCCATAAGAGGCTGGGGGTGATGTTGTGGAAATGGATATTTCCCATGTGGCATGTAAATAATAACAACTTAACCAACTACAATCGGTTGTGTGCTATGAGGTAGTTGTTGTTGTTGTACTCTGATTTGTTACCCTGTGGTTGCGTGATGATGCAACAGTGCGGCTACCCCTACTGTAATCTACATCGAGTTTACATGTGAGGTCATCAAGATGGGAAAATAGGAAGGGTGGTGGGTGATGTCAGGTCAATGTGTACATTTCTGTACTCCAACGGAGTTACCTTGCTTGCAAGGTCACTTCCAAACCCACAATTGCGTGGGAAAAATGTGTTTATATTACTTTTACTTCTCATGTGATTCCCAATAGCATGTGACCATTCAACGAATTGTATTATATATTTATTGTTATATTGCTATATGTATCATTGTGTTATGGTCATCCCCCTCGCCATCATCGTACCTGAAGTTCTCTGGTGTTTAGTGCATCCCTGGCATAACTCAGTTAAGTAATAACCCACACCCGATGCCCTCACTGCTTCCCAAGTAGTATTTGCCGGCATATTCAACTTTCGAAGCATATGTGCTGGAGTCCGCTTCAAGGCTTCGTGCACAGGTCATGTACCAGCCATGGGCTGGCAATAATGGAAAACAACCCCGGTACTCACTTTATAAATGAGAGCTTCGTGACTGCAAGTTCTCCATCTTTGTTGGGTGCCATAGAGCACTTGAGCGACATCCAACCTGATAAGAGGGCAGGATGGTGGGTAATGAAGCGAAACTCTCGGCCCCCACTGCTTCCCCACAGGTTCCATTTGCGATGTTCAGATTGGTGTTTAGGTTTGATGTCACCAGCATGTCACTTGATAGGCACTGAGAAGAGGACAACATACTCCGCACGTGTGGAGGAGATCATAGTGTTTAGAGACCCAGCTCCCCTTCTTAGTAACCGTGTAGAAGGTGGCTTGCCTTCCAAACGACACTTCTCTGGACCACTTTCTCTCTGGTTAAGTGCAGAAGGCAGGAGTAAGAGACGGTGCCAACCCTTTATACTTTTTATCGTTTCAGACCATCCTCGATTCAACTCATAGTGCTCATTAACTACAAAGAAAATGTCAACTGAGCGGGTGCTTGACGGATGGAGTGTCAAGGAATTAAATGACTAAAGCCAACTCCAATAACTGGCCTTGTGGTCAGCAATTAATGATGTGCAAGCAAGGTCATGGTTGCGAAGCAACCTTTCTAGTTAACCTGAACAGCCACATTCCTGCATTAGCATGGGAACATTCTGGGAGAGCAACTCGCCCAGAATCCACCATGTGAATACTTAGTCACAACACCTCTTTTATATTATTTCGGACTAACCCTGAATTCATTTCTTGTCCCAAAAGGGATCTACTATAGTCATAGTATGTCTACCATGATCTGAATTGATTTTAAAATTCCCACGGCATAGTAGGATTGAATGGAAAGGACTGAATTGGTTCTGAAAGTCAAGTGTCTTGACTACCATCATAATAGGATTGAATGGCATAGTAGGATTTTTTTCTCACAGCTAGCAAGTGAGGATGTCCACTTGCTTTTGTTCTCACAGCAAGCAAGTGAAGATGTTCACTTGCTTTTTTTCTCATGGCAAGCAAGTGAAGATGTCCACTTGCTTTTTTCTCATCTGGGCCCAGTTCCTAACTGTCAGAGATCTGGAATAATGTCAGAATCTGGAATAATGTCAGAATCTGGAATAATGTCAGAGTCGGAACACTGTCAGAAGGCAGATAGAAGACGGATTAGGTTCTGTCTGAGTTGGGGTCGGAGATTGTGGCAGAGGCCTGTTGGAGCGCACGCACGGATATGCAGGCAGAAATATGCGGCGCGTCCAGAAGCGCTGTTCAAGGTTAGCAGAGTGGGATCGCAGCCTCAGCGACTCAGGTGGAGCGCTGTGCCCTGAGCTTGACGTTTGGGGGAGATCCCATATTTACAAACTGACACTTACAGCGGACTTCAAACAAGACTTGCGGGCGGAGCGGACCTGTAGGAGGAGTGTGGACTCTGCGAGCACAGACTCAGAGGGGGGAAGCCCCCTTTGCAGAAGGAGAGACTCAGACCAGACAGGGGGGGTACTCTAGTTGATTTCAGACTAAGGTCCCCGAAAGTATTTACAGGATATAAATAGGCAGGAGGGAAACACAGAAGGACCAGTCAGTCCAGTGCGGTCCAGTGTGGAAATAAGTGGGGATTGTCAAACTGAATGAAGGACAAGAGCCCGGGAAATGGGAGGCAATGAACTAAACAAAAGCGGATCAAGTGCCAATATTGACAGGTAATAAAAGTGCATCAGCACATGGATCAAGTGCCAATATTGGCAAGTTAAGCGAATGAATGGATGAACAATATAGGCACTCGGCAAGGAATGAATGGTATGCCGCCGAGTGACAAGATGGCCAGAGAAAAGCGGAGGTCAGTGCGTGGCGCTGATACAAGTCCGCAAATAAGCGGGGTCGGTGCGGTGCCGACACAAGTCCGCAAACAGAGGTTGATCTGCCAGCACTGTCACACAAGGACAGCATGAAGGCCAACAGAGGTACAGAGGGGAGTGGGAGTGTTGACCTGACCAGAGGTGTCAAGGACAACCAGAAGTGGCCAGAGGGTGCAGAGATGGGCGGAGGGTGCGGAGTGGGCAGAGGGTGCGGAATGCACGGAAGCGGGGCATGGCTGTGACCACATAGCAGGAAGCGATGAGTGTGGTTCAGATGGAGACAAGGCAGGCATGACTGAATGCCGGGAGCGCCAAGGGCTCAGGAACTGGAGGTAAGGTCGGAATACCGGCAGGGTCTAGGTTCTGATTATTGGCCAAGTCAGGCAGGGGGCCAGACATGGGGTTGGGGGCTGGTTAGGATGGGTTTCGGGTCGGCGGATTCGCCTATCGGCATTGGTTCGCCACTGATGGAGCCCCAGGATTTGTCAGTCATGACACTAACCCTTCATGTGACTTCCGGGTATCCCCGGAAGTTTTCCTGATATGGTGGCCACTGTGGGAAGATGAGAAGTTAGCTTCCTTCTCATCTTCTTACCCACAGTAGGGCTGGTTGCACCAGTAGGCTGTGGACCATAGGGGAGGGTCATGGGGACCCAGGAGTCGTCCCCTGACAATGAGCAATCATTTCCCTCTTCCATTCAAGGGGAATGTTGTTTGGGAACCTGGTGTTGAAGGACACCTGGTCTGGCGGCATCACCATTTGGGACACTGTTTTTGACAGTTCTAAATAGAACTGTTTTAAACCTTTGCCTGCCTCGTATTTTACGTTGCAGTACTTCTTTGTTGCGTTTAATGCAGCAGATGCTTTTATGAAAGTTCTCATCAGTATGTTGAGAACTTTGAGGAACATGCCCTCATCTCCTCTGAGGAGAGTTTCATCTTGGAGTCTTATTCCGAGGTCAAATGTGGGTCCCCCTAGTCCACAAATTAAGCAGTCCAAATGGACTTCGTCGAACTGGGGGCCTTTGCTGTCAGGGGACAACTCCTGGGTCCCCATGACCCTCCCCTATGGTCCACAGCCTGACCTATGAACAGCCCTATCCAGGGCAACAACTACTGTGGGTAAGGAGATGAATAGATAAAGGCAATGTAGAATACACTTGCCTACTGTGGGTAAGTGTCAGGGCACACCCGCCTGACCCGGCTCCACCCGGCCCAACCTGACCCGGTACCCCGCCGGTCCACCCTCCTTACCTCCTCCCCCTTTCCCTTCTTCCCCCTCATCCTCCCCTCCTCAGTTTCTCCTTATCTTACTTCTTCTTTATTCTCCCTTTATTCTACATGGACGACTTTCTCTGTATCAATGTACAATTGACCCATCTGCAGCGCGCCCACCATGTACCCGGCCCGGGCACCTCAGGCGACCTCCCGCTGTGCCCAGCACGTGCGCCTGCACCGGATACCCTCGGGATCTCCCACGGAGACACCCGGGTGGTTACGGCTGTGTGCGAGGGTGACGTGGCACCCATCATGTGATCCAAGCCGCATGTATATAAATGAACCTGAAGTGGGAACCGAAGAAGTAGCCTTCTTCTCAACTTTCCACTTCAGTCTAAGTGGCCAGGGACCACTGTCCCGCATCGGGCCTGTCAGTACGCACGCCCGATCCGCCCCCCGCCAGGCTCTCGGTCCCGGACGCTACACCCGGACCCCCTCGACCCCGGACGAGTCCCTGACAGTAAGGAGATGAGAAGGAAGCTAACTTCTCATCTTCCCACAGTGGCCACAATATCAGCAAAACTTCCGGGGATACCCGGAAGTCACATGAAGGGGTAGGAACCGGGTCCGGAGCATGCGGCGCACGGAGCATGCGTGCGTGTGGGAAGCGTGGCGGGTGG